CAGTGGGTTTGTTTACACCAGTATTACCACATACATGAGTAATGTGTGATTCTTCAGCCTCACCAAGACTCTGATGTCACTGGGCAACAGGATTTTTCAGCTCTGTTGTTGTCTTATGGAGCCACTGTTTTGTGTGTGGCCCTTTGTTGACTGAAATGTAGTTGTGTGGCCTGTGAATATAGTTCCTGTTTTTTGCAGATGAGGACAGTGAAATAGAACTCAGGTGGTAGAGCCAGGTTCAAATCCTTGTCTGATTTCCAGGATTCTTTTTTGTAGAGCAAGAGCAATAGAAATCTCAGGATTTCAACAGGGTGTAAACAGACCTCCCCGAAAGATGGTTCTGGTGTAGCAGTTGATAACCTGTGTCCATGAAGGGCTTTTTTATCCCCTGCTACCTCCTATAAAGCTAATCGGTTCCCACTTGACCTGTGGGTCTCTGCCTCATGCTGGACACCTGACCCTCCTGAGTGGACTTCGATAAACAAAGATTAATGTGTTTTACCTCTTTTTGCCTTTTATAGATGGATCTGTCTGTAGAAACCCTCTTTAGCTTCATGCAGGAACGCCAGAAAAGATATGCGAAATATGCTGAGCAGATCCAGAAAGTCAACGAAATGTCTGCCATCCTCCGCCGCATACAGATGGGCATCGACCAGACGGTGCCGCTGATGGAAAGGCTCAACAGCATGCTGCCCGAGAGCGAGCGGCTAGAGCCCTTCAGCATGAAGCCGGAGCGAGAGCTCAAGCTATAGCACTGCTGGTTCCCGCCTGCTAGGCTGCTTTTAGGAGGCAGAGAAGCCAGTAACCCAGAGGACATTTGAAGCCCAAGTCCTATGGTATGACCAAGGCCTGAAGCTGGTACAAGGTCTGGGTCCTCACTGCAGTGGACACTGCATGGACTGCCACTGCCAGCATGGACTGTCTTTGCCCTTCTCCTTCCCTTGATGCGAATACCCTGTGTGAAACGAACAGAACTGATTCTTGGTGATAACTGAAGTTGGAACATTACTAGAAATTGTTTTAAATGCTGCATGGAGAGTTGTTATTTTTTTTTATTGACAGTATATATATTCTAGTGTAGCTACTGGAGTGGAAACAGAAAAAAGGGAGAAAAATTTTTTATGAAGCTATGTGTCTTCAATGCCCTTGTGAAATTTTACTCAGGCTCTGGGTTATGGGTTATAAATATGAAAAAAAATTAATCCAGATCTTTGCGTTCTTACTGTTTCCATCCCACTTCCATCACATCAAGTCTAAATTGAGAATTCCCTCTTCCTGTCCTGATGGAACACCGCCTTTCTTGTTGTCTACCAGGTTGTGGTGTCCCTTACATTTCATCATCAGAAAATGAAGACTCCCTTTTTCCACCTTCTGGAGATTCGTCTCATTGATTATTGGTTTGCTTGACGTAGGCATAGTTTAGGTTTCTTTCTATTACATCAACACAGGCAGGACTCGTGTTTGTTTTAACCATTATTTAAAAAAAATTTTTAATTGTACAAGGACACAATACTTTTATTTTTATTTGTTTTTACGTGGTGCTGATGATTGAACCCAGTGCCTTGCGCACACCAGGCAAGCGCTCTACCACTGAGCTACAACTTCAGCCCTAACCATCATTTTTTTAAGAAATAACGTTTATTGGGTTGAGGCTGTAGCTCAATGGCAGAGCGCTTGCCTAGCATGCATGAGGCACTGAGTTTGATCCTCAGCACCATCTTAAAAAAAAAAAAAAAAGGCATTCTGTCCACTTTACAATTTTTTTTAAAATAACATTTATTTGGTGCTGAGGATTGAACTTAGTGCCTCACACGTGCTAGTGCTAGGCAAAAGCTCTACCTCTGAGCCACAACCCAGCCCCACCGACTGTTTATCAGCCTAGTAAACGTGTGGGACATGAAGGCTTTGACAGCAGTCTATGGAGATCACTCACTCAGCAATTCATTTAATTGAGCTTATCCCATGTGCTAGACATTGTGCCAGGGATACAGACATGGCTATGCAGCCTCTGCCCTTTTGTTTGTAAAGAAAAAGACAAAACACAAAGTACTGTTGAATTTCTATGGGAGTAGGAAATGAAGCAAAGTGCTTAATGCAGTACTTTGCATGTCATGGGTGGTATTAGGGGAAGAAAGGACTGAAGAAGCAAAGAAATAAGAGGTAGAAACAGCGCTAAGCAGGCAAGTGGAGACCAAGGGCCAGGGTTAAGAAAGTCCCTGGTCCAGGTCTTTATGTAGGCCTCTGCCTCATGCATGTTTTCTGGCATTTCCTTCCCCTAGATGTGGGCAGCAGCCGCGCCCCCAGCTCCTCCAGCTCCCGTAGAACTCCGCCTTTGGTATTCTAAATTTTAGATCAGGTGTAAGTGTTAGCTTTTCTTTCAGGTCACCTGTAGCAGTGAGGATGAAGGCTTAGACAAGGAGACCGCCAACTTGGGTTCTGGTGAGAGGTGTGAGCCTTCAGTTTGTTTGGAGGCCTCAGTTGTCCACACTCTTCCCCCATTAGGACCTACATTCCTTCCCAACTCACAATCTTCCTGTGCTCAGATGAAGCAGAAACAGCCAACAAAGACTATCTTCTCGGCTTCTATAATTGCTTCAGGTCAAATCCTTTGAACCTCATATTCTATATCATTCTTAGTGGTTTTTTTCATAACTGAACCCTGACTGGTACCATAACATTACTCTTCAATATTTCACTTTTTTCTAATAGATTCTGGGAATTTGATTTTTATTTCAAGAAACTGATGGGTCTTTCTTGGTTAGTACTCAGTGACCTACCTGGCCTCTACAGGATCCTCCAGGGTTGGGAAGTCAGCTTGGAGTTGTGAGAGATCTGGGTGGAAGTTTCTAGCCTCGACTGGTAAGCCATTTGGTTTCCTTGAGCCTGTATTATACTTTGGATTTTAAACATCCCCCAAAGGTCCACATGCTCAAGGCTTGTTTGCCTACAAATGGCAGTATTGGGAGGTGGGGGAGTTTTTAGGGAGGTGGGAACCTAACAGAAGGAAATTAGATCATTGGTGGCGCATGCCTGAAGAGCTTTCTCACACTTTTTCTTCCCGAATGCCATGAAGTGAACAGGTCTTCTCCACCACATGCTCACAGACCCAAAACAACAGGGTCAAACGACTACAGACGGAAACCATAAGCCAAAGTAAATCTTTCCTCCTCATAAATTACGTCAGGTGGAGCCGGGGTTGTGGCTCAGTGGCAGAGTGCTTTCCTAGCGTGTATGAGGCACTGGGTTTGACCCTCAGCACCACATAAAATAGATAAAATAAAGGTCTGTCAACAACTAAAAAATATTTTTAAATTATGTTGGGCATTTTAGAGAGATGAAAAGCTGACATACCAACCTTTTCCTTCTGGCAAGTCTGCAGTTCTAAAAACTAAATATTTAGCAGCAATGAAGAACATTTCTCTTGTCTGAGCAATAGTCCTGAGTCTTAATACTCTTTGGACACTCAGGGATCACTCTAAATATTCTGCCACATTTTTTTCATATCAGAAATCTAGACCTTCCCTATTTCGCTTCGTTTTTTTTTATTTGTTCTTAGTTATATGACAGTAGAATGTATTTTGACATGTACATACATGGAGAATAACTTCCCATTTTTGTGATTGTACATGAGGTGGAGTTACACTGGTTCATATTGAACATAGGTTTTTATTTTTAGTTGTCAAACTAGTCCTCCAAATTCAGAGCTCCCAAAGGAAAGCTTCCTTCCTTTTAATTATAAATTAGGTATAGACTGTCTCTCTCTTAAAAGAGCCTATTTTGCTTGTCTATCAATCTGTTCATCTGTACTTATGACGACTGTAAATAGGCTACTATACTACATAGTTTTATTAAGTGAATTAGGTCAGTAGAAGCTGGCCTTCACCCTTTGTGCATATAAATTTATGAGAGTTGTAAAGTTGGGAGCAGAAAAGTAATATTCAAAGAAAAAGACCTTACACATTAGTGGTTAATGTCAGAAAAACAAAACCTGACAACATTATTTAAAATACCAGTGAACATTTTGAAGCTAAAAATTTTTTTGTCTTCTTGTCCCACAACACTCTGCCCTTCACAAACTGTCTTTATGGATACACAAGACTCCAATTTGGCCATATTTGTCTCCACATCTCAGAAACCTTCCCTATTTCCCCCTGGTTTTTGTCTAATTGTAGGCGTCAGATCCAAACCAGCCCTCTCCCAGCTGCTCGTGTGTTCTCTAAACGCCTCTAGCTCTACCTTTAAGTAAGTGAACAGTTGGCTTGACCTTCAGGCCTTCTCAAGATCTAAGCCTTTTCACCTGAAGCCTCTTATACAAACACTTGTTGTTCTACTACCCTCTATCTCTGGAGACAGTTATTTCATATTCCTTTATTCTTCTATCCCACCCATTTTTTTCCCTACAATGTCCTCACCAAGGCACCGCTAGTATTGGCCTACCCTGTCTAGTCCTCCTTACTTTCAAATTTTCTTAAGTCCAACTGCAACTTGCTCAGGAACCTTTTACAGTTCACTTTAGTGAGGTTACCTTGTGAGTCTTTTTTAGTCATTCCATCAGCTGCACTAAGGTAAATAGTTCATTCCTGTAAGGCATGATTTTTACTGCACTAATGAGCATATCCAGTGTCACAGGCCATTAGAGTACCCATGGCAAGGATGGAATAGATCCTCTATTATGATTCCTCCATTTTTCCTGAAAGAATTACAAAGTCACTAATTTTATTTTTCTTCCAAAATCAATCAAAATATTTACCAAGTCTTTGGTTTCTACAGTGTAGTGTGCCTTAGGTATACACAGAAAGAATGCAGCCAATGATATGTTAGCCAGTGATTCAGTATTCCGTGTGAATGGTAGTAGATGATATATCTGACACTATCACCACTTTATTTTGAGCTAAACCTTATTCGAGAATAGCAGGACAGGTTCCACCACACTCTCCTTTGACAACTTGGATGATGCTATTTGTCAATTTTACAGCTGCAAAGAAAGGTCCTTCCTCATATTTATGTATAAACAGGTACCAGTTTTGATTTTATTTCATCATATTAACATACATGACACATCAAAATGAGAAATGCACAATTTAACCATTCAACAGCTTGCCTTGCTCCAAAAGAACACTATATTCATATTAAACATTTATACAGTCTTTCCACCTAACTTTATAAATGTCCTAAATCAATTTCCAGCATTTCTCACACAGAAGCCTATTTTAACTCTTTAAAATCACCATTCTGTATCATCCTAGTAGACTCCAGGGGTTCCCCTGTGATTCCATGCTGAAGAGAACCAGCCTCCACATCACCCACAGACCCGAGCAGCTCCAGGACTTGACTTGCCTTGGAGGCTGCCCCTTCGGCATGGTAATCTTGATTCCAAGAACTGATTATTGGACATAACTGATCAAGGACTGACAGCTGTAGTGTATGACTATATCACAGTTACAGGAAGGAAGGGGGACCATAGCCAACAGAAACCCTAAATGACACAAGGCAAATTGTTGCCCAAAGATCTATTGAACCTAAGTCCCCCAAGCCCCCTGAAACACTTAACGATGGAGCTATTGCTTTCATTTCTTAAAAAATGTTTGACAGATGTAACCAGATTCTGGAAGCAGGGAACTGTTAAACATTCAGTGTGTGTATACACAACACACCAAAAATTACTGTGTGAAACCTTGAGAATATCTGATTACATAAAAGATTTAATTGTGTATATAAAAACTCAGATCATTTCACAGAAATTTGTCAGTACCGTAATAATGTGCTCCCTATGCAGTTCATGCTCTTTTGTGTCCATTTTATACCCACATCATAGCACATTATTTGTACATAACCAGTATGTCTGTGAAGCTCATAATCCCCATGATCAAGCCAGTCAGTTCTGAATCGTTATTCTGTGCTGGTTTTAGCAGTCACCATAGGAAACAAATCACAGCCTAGTCCAAGGAATATCCATTTCTCAAACATAGAAAAACCTGAGATATAAGTCAGCAACTAGCTACACTTACAGTAAAGAACAATAACACCTGTCCCACTTCCCACCCCCCCAAAAAAAGCTGCTGACATGAATTAAGGCTTCAAAAGAGGACCATATTGTAGTTGATAAAACATAAGCCAAGAAATTTAAAAGCAGATACATACTATCACTTGTGTACTTGTTCTAATTACCTTCTATTTTCAGCTGCCAGGATTGATTCCATACAGTGATTGTAGGTCAAGGACTGAGAAACCATCTTGGTCTTTTTCCATCGTGATATGCCCCTTTTACTAAAAACATGCCAGGGATAGTTTTCAAAATAGCTTGGCTATGGCTTTCCACTCTACTCACAACTGAACAAAATTCAACAGCCTTCTTCTCACCTTCCTAAACTGTTTTACTGAGTATTCCTTGCTTCCTAAAGCCTCTCTCAACTCTTATTAGTACATTTAAAAGTATAAGGAGATTTTAGAAATACCACCCTCATCACATGCCAAGAGCAGATGTGCCATCAAGGAAATAAGTTTCCTGTTTCTCCTCAGCATTTTTTTTTAAACCTTCTTAATATTTCTGTAGTTTCACCCCCCCCAGGTGGTTTCCTATAAAATTCTTCCTGTTGTTACATTTTTACAAACTGGATCCATGCAATGAAATAAATGGAAAATATCTACTTTGGCTGAGAACTTGAAGGATCTGTCACTCTGCTATGAACCCAGACAATTCACATTTGACTTTAAACCAAGTTAATCTTTAATAATTAAAGGATTAACAATCCCATTTTAAACATTTCTTTGATTCATAAAAGGGAGGTAGACTTGTTTAGCCTCCCAATCTTGGCTTAAATCATTATACTGCCAGATTCCTAGCTATGGTGGATCCTAGATGGTTTCTCTTCTCTTTCTTAATAAAGCTGAAAAGAAGAAAACAACCTACTCCATCCAGGCCCAATTGGAATTTTGTGCATAGAGTGTTTTAAATTGTTCTGAAAAGTATGTCTAGCTACCAACCTATTCACAATGCCTAGAAAACGGGCTCCCAGATATGGAAGTGGTGAAAGCCCCGACTGTCTTGTCTGAGGTACTGGGTTTGTTCTAAAGTAGATCTGGGCGAGGCCCCTAATGGTCCATGCAGCAGAATGATGCTTTTGTTACTCAGCTGTCAGGTGAGCTTGGATTTGTGAATCAGTTTGGATAAGATCATTTCTCTTGGATTTAACCATTAGGTTCTGTCCCTAAGAGGTCTACCCACCCGACCCACCAGTGGCTCAGTCTCAGCACTAAGGTGCACTATGGAAGGGACTGGACAAAGACAAATATTTGAGATCTCATTGTAGCACAACGTGAAAATGGTACGGGATTTTGTCCTCTGACATCAAATAAAGTTGCTTCTGTAGGAGCAATAAATGTGCAATTCACGGAATACAAGTTGGTTCCTCTGGTTAGGGGGATTCTAACATCTGCCCTTCCACTTTTCTTGAGAGAAATATTAACTCATCTCTCAAATGCAGATGCTAAGAGAACAACTGTGTTGATCCACCTTTTGCTTTTACACCACAGCTCCATTTTCCAAAATATATATGTATGTACATATATATATTTCAGATTTACAGGGAATATTTTTGTGGAAAAAAAAAAAACAATAGAAGTCACAAGTGTCTTTCTTCTCAGGAGACCTCAATGATTTCCATGCTGCCTGAAAAGCTAGACTGACTGCCCACTTTCCCCAGCTCTTCCCGCGACCTGTTCTCTGACATGATGCTCTCTCCAAATTCCATTTGGCAGCTTCTACGTTTAAACTGCTTTTCAAAGGGGCTCTCTTCGTGCCAGCTCCGCCGTGAGTCAGCTCTGTCACTTGGCTTCTGCCGTCTGCGCACAGAATAGACTTGGTCACTGCAAGTGGGCAGCTGGCTACAGCTGTAGGCAGAATAACTGGCATTGCCTCCATAGATGGCTGAAGCAGAGTAAAAGTGAGAGGACTCTGTGGCAAAATACCAACTATTGGTCAAGGAGGGGGTAGAGGTCTTGGGAGCCAAGATATCTGAGTGCCAGCCCTTGAGGCCCAGCCCAGCAGCAGACTTGGTGAGGTGTTGCTGGCTGGTGGAAAGGCCGAAGAGGAAGTTGGTATGGTAATTGTCCTCCACACTCCCACTTCGATGCAGTGGAGATAAGAAGGACCTTTGGGTGCCACCGTTGCTGGTTCTTACTGAGTGTAGTCGCTTGCTCTCTGAAGGCCTGGTGGTCTGGGGCTTCTTAAGGATGTGGGCTTCCTCCTTATCTGGGCTGGTTTCTGGAGTCTGCTCTGACACTTCCTGAACTGGGGAGAACTGGCATAGCTTGTTGGTCCCATCCAGAGTAGTTGAAGGTTTGTAGTATTCCAAAGCATCTTCTGATGAGGAGAAACCATGTAAGGATGCTGCCATGCTGGCTGAATATGAAACTGATTTAATATCCAGAGAGAAGGAACGCTTGAGCTTATTGCTGTCTTCCAGCTTGTCAGAGGACAGGTGGAGCCCATTGAGTGCCTGTACCAGTGGACTGTCCCCTAACAGTGATGGCTGTAGGCTGGGCGCACTGGCAGGAAGCACAGGTCTTTGCCCTGCTGCCTCTGAGGTAGCACAGTCAGCAAAGGGTGGACTGAGGGATGCCTCACTTTTCTGTCCACCCTCCGAGACTGCAGGGACAGGTTCATTTGGCTTTTCCAGGTGCAGCAGCTTGAGTTTGCTCTTTGGCCCTGATGCTCCAGTCTGGTTCTTAATCTTCTTTTCATAGTCAAGGAGCTGGCCCAGAAAATTGAAGTTTGGAGATATAGTAGGTCTTTTTTCTTTGACAAATCTATGAAGAGAGGAAAAATCAAAAACTGAATTTTATACTACACTTTATCTTAAGAATATTAAGTGAGTAAACAAGAGGGGTTTATTAGACCTTCCTAAATACTTTGGAAGATGACTGGTTTACAAGTTCAGAGAGATGCCTCAAGATGGAGAATATAAAGGACTTCTGTGCTGAGGGAACTCTGACTCTGGGGGCATACTAGAGAGAGAGGGTGCCAGGCCCAAAAGCTCTATAGTTTTAGCCTTATTATTTTTAATGGCTCAAGACTTCCAATGCAATTGATAAGAGGGGATTTCTTTGGCTACAACCAATGAAATCCCACCATAACACACACTGGTACAACCAAAAAAAGTACAGTGTAATGGTCATTTGCCAGCTTTAATTTTCCAATATTATCCCTTCAATGTCCCCATGGTCATTTCTCAAGACATTTCACATTTTAATGACCAAAAAAAAAGTATCAGATAGTCAAAGCACCTAATTCTGAGTTCCATTTTTTTGTACTCTGCACGACAGAATAACCAACCACAAAGTGGTATCTGGGGGCTAAGTATTATGCTGATGCCCTAAATTATTTATTCAATCTTCAAACCTACCCTAATCAGTGGGTGCCATTATCCCCATCATGAGGGTACATAAATCTTGGACTTGCCTAAAATCACATAGCTACTAACTGATGATACTGGGTCCATTTTTGTAATATGTTAAAGATTCATCAAGGGGTCAAAACTATGAATAAGTAGCTTTTATGTTTCACTGAGGAAACAAAGGCTCTTAAATGTAATAGAAAAATTCTTCAATGGCACCAGAACTTCATGAATCAATTACCTGTCAGATGCTGCAAAAAGTAAAACTACACAGAAAATCTGTATACAAATAAAGAATAAGAAAAAATTAAAAACTCCATAGAAATCATAGTAATCTAAAGCAAATTAACAAAGCCCGAAATAACCAGTTCAACTATAGTTTAAATATTAATGTAGGGTCCTTGTGCTAAGACTTCCTCATGTGATACAATGGTGAGGCCTCTGGTTTCTGCATGGAGCAGGACAATGTCAGGTGCAAAGCCTGAATGAAGGAGAGGAATCTGGTGCAGGTAGACAAGGGCCCATCCACACCTGTCTCCTGCCTCAAAAGACAAGCTGGGCTGCTCATTGCCTGCCTTCCCTTTTGAGAAAATAGGAGCCAGCGCAACCTGGTCAAAACTACACACTGCAAAATCTGGCCAGCTAGGATGTAGGAAATTAGTGAATGTATTTGATGGTTATTTGATTTTACACTTGCCTACATTTGTCTTTTTCCTCATAGCAATACAAAGTTTGAAGCAGAGTATATTCTACTGGAGGGTTTTTTTTCCCTTCATAAATACATTAGAACAAATGATACTTCTCCGATGAAACAAAGCAATAAGCTCTCTGCCTGGTGTTTTTCCTTAAATTTAAAAGGTAGCTGAGGATGAATCTGACATGTTAGGGCAGAATGAATGCTGACTGATAAAACTGCATTCTTTTCAATCTTTGCAAGACCATTTAAAAATCCACAGAAACCTGAAAAGAGAGTGACTAAAATAATCACAATTTGCTTTAATCTGCTTTTCTACTCATCTCTTTGTGTTTCAGGGCAAATGAAAAGCCCACTCGCACAAGACATGTTCTTGTCCTCACCTGTAAGCCTCATCTAAAGACATGTCCATCCTCTTCATGATGTAGGCGATGGCAATGGTGGCAGAGCGAGAGATCCCTGCTAAACAGTGCACTAGGACACATCCATTGGAAGCTTTTGCTTTCTCTGTATGAGTCAAATTCAAGAAAGTTAACAATTTAGTTCAGCAAAATGGAAATTTTGTTTCCATTTGTTTACTCAAGGTCTTAGCCTGAAAACCTCAAAGCAAATCTTTTCTATTCACATTATATCTACTCTTTCAATATTCTTTTGAAGTCAGGGAAGATAATTTCCTCACCATTGTTATACAATGGATGGTTAAGGTCCACAAGCATTAATAAGCAACATGTCACTAACTCAGGTTACCTGACACTTATTTCAGTATTTTTTACCATATATTTTTTTCCATTATTATTTTAATAAATTTTCCTGGATATGATTCCTGCATTACATGATTCTACTTGCTTAGTGTAGAAATTTTCAGAAATACAGAAAAGTATATAAAGAAAATAAGAACCACCTAACTCCACACCTAAGATAACAACTAACAATTTGTTTACTCATGTTATTTGACACATGTTTTCTTCCCAATTATGAGATTTTAGGGGTGGGGGAGGGTAACTGGGGATTGAACTCAGGGACACTCCACCACTGAGCCACATTCCCCAGCCCTATTTTGTATTTTATTTAGAGACAGGGGCTCACTGAGTTGCTTAGTGCCTCTGCTGGCTTTGAACTCCGGATCTTCCTGCCTCAGCCTCCTGAGCCACTGGATAGGATTGTGCCACTGAGCCTGGCTGATAATTTTTTTTAAAATATATTTGCATTTCAAATAATATATGACACACATTATAATGAGAAAGGAGGAAAGTGAGGGAGAGACTAGATCATAATGCAAGATGCCAGACCAAGTGAGTTTTTTTTTTTCCTTTTCTTGTTTGCTATGCTGGAAATTAAACCTAGGTCCTCAAACACTCAAAGCTAGCAACTGGCCACTAATCTACATTCCCAGCCCAAATATTTTTTTAAATGCCAAGACTTGTCACACATGAGAGTACACACCTGTGATCTCATCTACATGGGAGGCAGGAGGGTCCCAAATTCAAGACCAGCCTGGGCAACTTAGTAAGATTCTGTCTCAAAATAAAAATTTTTAAAAAGGGCCGAGGATGTAGCTCAGTGCTAGAGTACTTGCCTAGCATGAATGAGGGCTCTGGGTTCAATCCCCATACCACACAGGCACACCCCCCCCCGCCCAAATAAATAAATAAATACATAATAAAATTCATGAGTTCTCCATTTAGGAAATTTTACCGTGTGTCAACTTTATTTGCTGAATTTAAGAAGAAAACTATGCATAGCTAGATGGGGTTTACCAGGTCACTTTAATGAGGACAAACAGAACTTTTATCCCTTCCTCGACACCTAGGAGTTACTGTCCTTTATCGCATTACTTCCCCCAAAACATGGCAGAAGGACTCAGAGACACTTTTAGTGCTGTCATTTCTCATTGTTAAGGGGCTTAAAAAAACGTAAATGTGGAAGTAGCTTAGGTTATCCCACATGGCCTGGAAGCAACCAACATTCTATGCAGTACTATGACTGTCTCAAGTCTTTTTATTATTTTTTACAATACTTTTAGTTGTAGGTGGACACAATAACTTTATTTTGTCTATTTAGTTTTTTTATGTGGTGCTGGGGATCAGACCTAGTGCCTCATGCATGCTAGGCAAGCAATTTACCACTAAGCCACAACCCCAGCCCTGACTGTCTCAATTCTAAACAATTACATGTGTGCTTCTTTCTTAAAGCTGTTGCCAGGGAGCTACATTCTTCCCTTTCATTTTTATTTTAGTTGAAAACTACCAAAAGTTACCAAAACTATGTTAAAATTATTAGAATTAACAAATATGTAAGAAATCAGCTCCAGCACTGCCTATGTCACAAATATTTCACATTTCTTCTAGATATGATTTATTCATTATGTATCCAACAATCTAGGATGAATAGGCAGCAACTTCAGCTTCCGTTCTAGATAGGAAACCAAACAGTAAAACAATAACAAATGACAACAATGCAACACTGAAACAAAGAACCAAGTGCTAAACAAAATAATAATAAACCTGTATATATAAAGTCTCTAGTTCTCTTTGCTCTAGTGTACAGTGCTTACCCTACACTACTCTGTATTCCCCCTTTTGCCTTGGCTGCTAGAAGCTAAATTTTTCATTTAATTTCAAAAGAAACAGTAATTCAGATTCTCTATCAGTTATTGCATTTTTCCTACTCCAGTATTACTTGATTCTTGCACTTTTATCTGTACCACCTTAATGTGTATATGAATATGTGCATCTTTTTATCCCAATCTCTTATTGTAAACTACTCCAATACTGATTAGAAGTAGGCTTAAGGTTTTGAATGTTGATCATAGTCTCATCTGGAAAACTAGACTATGAGGACCTAGAATGGTCTTGCCTCTATAATACTAGACATAGTACATATACAGTTAGTACTGGCAGATTGATAAATAAGAAATCTTCATAAAAGTTTTGAAAAAGGGCTGGACGTAGTGGCACATGCCTGTAACCCCAGCAACTCCACAGGCTGAGTTAGGAGGATTACAAGGTCAAGACCAGCACAGCAAGACCCTGTCTCAAAATAAAAAATAAAAAGAGCTGGGGATAGGGCTCAGTGGTTAAGTACCCCTGGGTTCATTACCCCAGTACAAAAAAAAAAAAAAGAAAGAAAGGAAAGAAAAGAAAAAGGCTAGAAGGAAATGTAACATATGTGTTATAATGTTGAGGTTATAGGTTTCCTTTTCTGTTTTTCAAACATTGTTTTTATAACCACAACTCTCTTGATATATATGAATGATATATTGTCGATGGATCTTTATTTTTTATGTTTATATATGATGCTGAGAATCGAACCCAGTGCCTCACACATGCTAATCAAGTGCTCTACCACTGAGCTACATCCCGCCCTCTTGATACATTTTTAAAAATCAAATTAAGAAACGCTTATAGGGCTGGGGATGTGGCTCAAGCGGAAGCGCACTCGACTGGCATGCGTGCGGCCCGGGTTCGATCCTCAGCACCACATACAAAGAAAGATGTTGTGTCTGCCGAAAACTAAAAAATAATAAATATTAAAAATTCTCTCTCTTCTCTCTCTTTCTCTTAGAAAAAAAAAAAAAGAAATGCTTACACTGGAGTGGGGTTCTTGGCAGACATGAGTGCTAAACTAAGGCTTAAAGCAAAGGAAGAAATACAGACCTGACAAAGAGAAGGGAAAAGTGTGCAGGAAAGCCCTGTGATGGGCTGAACAAAGTGCCCAGAAAACAGCCTGCCTTGGTTGGCACTCACAAGCTGTATGAGAAATAACCAGAAGATTTCACAGGTGGGGAGCAGCTGCAGGAGGGTCTCTTGGGAATGTTAGGCTAAAGGATGTAATTTTTATGTAGGAAATCAAAGAGCCTCTTGCAAGTTCCTGAATAGGGAACAAGAAGGCAGTGATGATGTCAATGGAAATAGAAATGGCACACTAGCACTACAGAAATTCAGGAATAAAATTTATACTAAACAAGGAGAAAGAGTCACAAATAAAGAGAGGGGGCATAAGAAAGGAGGAAATTCTCATTACATTATTAAAATATTAGCTGGATGAGGTGGCTCATGACTATTCAGATGGCTGAGGTGACAGGAATTATTGCTTAAGCCCACAAGTTCAATGCAGCAAGACCCCACCTCAAAAGCAAAACAAACAAACAAAAAAAGCCAAGCAAACTAAAAATATTTACTTAAAGCCAACTAGGAGCCAAGTACTTTGCAAGGTATTTAATACACATGTATTATCTACTTTAATTCTTCAGCATCACAATAAGGTAGTTTCCAGTTCAGGAAATAGGCACACAAGCATTACCTCCATGTTGGAGACTGAACCCAGGGATGCGGTATCACTGAGCTACATCCCCTACCCTTTTTCACTTTCAGAGAGGCTCTTCCAAAGTTTCCAAGGATGGCCTCAAACTTGAAGTCCTCAGGCATATAAGTTTTAAGCAATTTACTCCAAACTACTGACTATTAACTAAGGGAAGCCAGACTCAAATACTGATAGTTAGGCTCTAAAGTACATGATCTTAATCACCTTGCCTTGGTGCAAAGTCATGAGTTTGGTGTGAGTGAGTTGGGCAGGGGGAGGCAAGGAGACAGTGAGGAGGGAGCAGGGGCATCCAGATGCACTAGAGGGTACCTCATGAGAACCCCACCACACAAACAGGCAAACTTTGCTACTGCTGCCTACGTTGACTAAAAATAAAATATAAAGCTCCATGAAAACCCAAGTCCTTCCACCAAACCCAGAGACTTGCTGAAATTTAATCTAACAAGAGAAAAATCAAGATATTGTGTCTAGGTATAGGGGTACATCTTCTAATTACATAGTCTATCATGACTAACCATGGCATCAAGTACCATGGAGAAGACAAAAAGCAATTACAGTGAATGTGAAAAAAATGAGATTTTTGCCTTCAATTATTTGAGTGGGATAGGGTAGTGGCTCACCTAATTAGAACCAAGCAAATAAGTGTGTGTGTGTGTTTGTGTACATTTAACCAATTGAAACATGGTAAAGTTTCTTTTGCATAAATGAAAAGTGGCATGATGACCCCAATCTCTCCGATGAAAGAAGAAAATAAATTGGGAGTAAAGTTACTCATATTCTCTTTTTTATTAATTCCTCCCAAATGTAGGCATTGTTATGACTTAACAGAATCAGGTTCTCCTCTTGATAGATCCTGAGATCTTACTTTTAGCTGAAATTAGAGCGAAATGAATCTGGATCAATATGATATGTAATGGCAGCATTAATCATTATTATTATTTTTCTAAAGCAGCAGAAGTTGAATGCTATGCTGAAGACATTTCCTAGAAGTATAATGAGAGAGTATTAATTTGGGGAATTTTCTCTATGATTATTTTAATGGGAGTGGTCACGGTCATTTATCTTTAGTTATCTCACAGAACGAGTCCTAATTGAATATAGAAACTCTTGGCAATCTGGAAAACTTGAGAAAAGATAACTATTTCAGAATTACCCAAAGCTCCAATAGCATTACCTAGAAAATCTCTCTCTTATATGATAAAATATAGTGGGGACTTAATTTGCATCATTTTTCTTTTTTAAAGAAACTAGTTCTTTTATTTTTAACTACAGTAACCAATTCAGAGTATTTCAGTGTGGATTAGAGTACTCAAACAGATGTGACTATAGGGGGTGAGCAACAAAAATTCCTCACATGGACATTAAGGGTAAACACCTTATTATGCTGCTCACTAGGGAGCAGTTTTCTCCTCTGTTCAGCCTCTCCACACAAACCACACTTTAAAAACATATCACGGATTACCACCAACACACTTGATCCTGCAGGACCATAAGGTCACAAAAGCAACAAGGACTTATAGAAATTCTGAATTTGAAGCAGAATGTGGAGTAGGAAACAGAATGTGTGTGAATTTTATTAGACCCACAACTACTTGAAAATATTGCCACTTGGATTGAGGCTCAGATATTTTGTGACATGTAAGAGATTCTAAATGTACTAGGATTTTTTTAAATCCCCCATCAGATTTGACTTTTCCCTGGGGAAAAGAGCAGCAAGGCAATAGGGAATATCATCAAAGTTTCCCAAAGTGTTTTACAGGATTTGAAAAAGTTGCATGTGTAAGATTTAATTCCAAAAGCTTAACTAATTTTTTAAATTATTTATTTTAATTAGGTATATATGACAGCAGAATGAATTTTGATTTATTGTACATAACTGCAGCACAACTTTTCATTTCTCTGGTTGTACAAGATGTAGCATCGCATCATATGTGCAGTCATACATATACCTAGGGTAATGATGTTCATCACATTCCACCATCTTTCCTAGCCCCATCCCCCCTCTCCACCCCTCCCTCCCCTTTGCCCAAAGTTCTTTCATTTTTCCCATGCCCCCCCAATATGGATCACCATCCATTTATCAGAGAGAACATTCAGCTTTTAGTTTTTGGGGATTGGCTTACTTCACTTAGCATGATATCCTCCAACTCCATCCATTTACCTGCAAATGCCATAATTTTATTCTCTTTTAATGCTCAGTAATATTTCATTCTGTACATATACCACAGTTTCTTTATCCACTCATCTATAGAAGGGCACCTTAGTTGCTTCCACAATTTAGCTACTGTGAATTGAGCTGCTATGAACATTGATGTGGCTGCATTACTATAATAGCAGGCTAATTTTTAAGTCCTTTGGGTATAGACTGAGGAGTGGGATAGATGGGTCAAATGGTGGTTCTATTCCAAGTTTTCTAAGGAATCTCCATAACTGCTTTCCAAAGCAGTTGCACCAATTTGCAGTCCCACCAGCAATGTATGAATATGCCTTTTCCCCTACATTCTTGCCAACACTTATTGTTGTTTCTATTCTTGATAACTGCCATTCTGACTGACATGAGATAAAATCTTAGTTTTGATTCGCATTTCTCTAAATAACTAGAGGTGTTGAACATTTTCATATATTTGTTGACAGATTGTATATCTTCTTCTGAGAAGTGTCTATTCAGCTCCTTAGCCCATTTATTGATTGGGTTGTTTTCTTTGGCATTAAGTTTTTTGAGTTCTTTATATATCCTGAAGATTAGTGCTCTATCTGATGTGCATGTGGCAAAAATTTCTCCCCAAATGTAGGCTCTCTCTTCAAACTCATTGTTTCTTTTGCTAAGAAGAAGCTTTTTCGTTTAAGTTCATCCCATTTATTAATTCTTGATTTTATTTCTTGTGCTTTAGGAGTCTTGTTAAGGCAAGGCCTACTTTTTCTAAGGTCTCTGGACTAATTCCTAGGTTCTTGATCCACTCTGAGTTGAGTGTTGTGTGTGGTAAGAGAAGTTTATTTTCATTTTTTTCTTTAATTTTTATTGTTGGTTGTTCAAAACATTACACAGTTCTTGATATATCATATTTCACACTTTGATTCCAGTGGGTTATGAACTCCCATTTTTACCCCGTATACAGATTGCAGCATCACATCAGTTACACATCCACTGTTTTACATATTGCTATACTAGTGTCTGTTGTATTCTGCTGCCTTTCCTATCCTCTACTATCCCCCATCCCCTCCCCTCCCATCTTCTCTCTCTACCCTATCTACTGTAATTCATTTCTCCCCCTTGGTTGTTTTTTTTTTCCCTTTCCCCTCACTTCTTCTTGTATGTAATTTTGTATAACCATGAGTGTCTCCTTCCATTTCCATGCAATTTCCCTTCTCTTTCCTTTTCCCTCCCACCTCTCATCCCTGTTTAATGTTAATCTTCTTCTCATGCTCTTCCTCCCAACTCTGTTCTTAGTTACTCTCCTTATATCAAAGAAATTATTTTCATTTTGCTGCATATAGATTTCCAGTTCTCCCAGCACCACTTCTTTTCTCCAATGTATGTTTTTGGCACCTTTGTATAATATGAAATAACTATATTTATGTGTGTGTGTCACTCTGTCTTCTATTCTGTACCTTTGCTCTACATGTCTGTTTTCATGATAATACTGTGCTGTTTTGTTACTGAAGCTTTGTAGTCTAGTTTAAAGTCTGATATTGTGATGCCTCCTGCTTCACTATTCTTGCTAAGAATTACTTTAGCTATTCTCAGGTCTTTTATTTTTCCAAATGAATTTCCTGAGTGCTTTTTCTATAAGGAATGACATTGAGAGTTTAATTGGAATTGCATTCAATCTGTATAGTGCTTTGGGTAATATGACCATTTTCACAATATTAATTTTGCCTATCCAGAGCATGGAATCTTTCCATCTTCTAAGGTCTTCTTCAACTTCTTTCTTTAGTGTTCTGCAGTATTCATTATGGAGGTCTTTCACCTCTTTTGTTAAGTGGATTCCCAAGTATTTTATTTTTTTTAAAGCTATTGTGAATGGGGTAGTTTTCCTAATTTGTCTTTCAGAGGATTCATCACTGATATATAGAAATCCACTTGATTTATGGGTACTGATTTTATATCCTGCTACTTTGCTGAATTCATTAATTCATTCTACAAGTATTCTGGTGGAGTTTTTTGGATCCTCTAAGTATAGAACCATGTCGTCAGCAAATAATGATAGTTTGAATTCTTCTTTTCTTATTTGAATTCCCTCTAATTTCTTTGTCTCTCTAATTGCTCTGGCTAGAGTTACAAGGACTATGTTGAATAGAAGTGGTAAAAGAGGGCATCTCTGTCTTGTTCCAGTTTTTAGAGGAAATGCTTCCAATTTTTTTCCATTTAGAATGATGTTGGCCTTGGGTTTAGCATAGATGTTGAGGTATGTTCCTACTATTCTTAGTTTTTCTAGGGTTTTGAACATGAAAGTGTGCTGTGTTTTGTCAATTGTTTTCTTTGCATCAATTGATATAATCATGATTCTCATCTTTAAGTCTATTGATGTAATGAATTACATTTATTGATTTCCATATGTTGAACCAACCTTGCATCACTGGAATGAACCCTACTTGATCATGGTGCACTAATTTTTTAATGTTTTATGTGATTTTCCAGAATTTTATTGAGAATTTTTGCATCAATATTCATCAGGAATACTGGTCTGAAATTTTATTTCCTTGATGTGTCTCTGCCTGGTTTTGGTATCAGGATGATAATAGCTTTGTTGAATGAGTTTGTAATGGTTACTTCCTTTTCTATTTCATGGAGTAATTTGAAGAGTATTGGTATTAATTATTCCAAAAAGCTTAACTAATTTTTAAACACTTGCAACACACAATCACACATCCTATGAGGCTTACCCTTGGTACTGTTAAAAGTTAGGTAACAGGACTCACAAGGCCAAACCTTAGGGATAGCACAACACGCACATCACCTTGACAGCTAAGTGAGAAAGCAACATCATGTTTTTTCCTGACTTTTGAAATCTCTGAAACAGGTTACTTTCCTTTAAAGATAAAAAGAAGAGAGAGGGGCTACACCTACAGACGAGACTATAACCCAAAGGACTGTAATGCTACTCAAACTACTTACCAATGAAATCCACTGATTTGTCCAACCATGGCAAAATTTTTTCACAGAAGCTATCATTGACAGGCACTCGAAGGAAATGAGACTCAGGGATAAAGTCAGGCTTTGGACAGGTATTGCTGGCATTTAACACATAACCAATCCCGTTCTGTTGCATCAGCTCCTGTAGAGGGAAAAGCAGTTGAAATGACTAATAATATGATAACATGATCATTCTGAAAGATTAATGTTATGATAAAAATTACCAGTCTCCTTAAACTAATTATTCTCATTAGGAAATCCAAAAACCCAACAAAATGACAGTCTGGAGAGGAAGAAAAAAATTTAAGGAAAAAAGTCTATTTAAAATAGTACAGTACACTTGAAAATTATACACGACTAATATAGCAAATATTCTCTCATCTCCATTGCTACAGAGAAAAGCAAAGAATACAAAATAAAATGAACACTTATACAACTTCAGAATATGTGCACACATAAGAACATTTTCTTCCCACACCAACTATGCTGGGTTTTCTCTAAGATATAGCCCTAGGCATTCTTCTAGAACTCATTCTTTTTGAAGGCTCCATCTCTTTCTAAGGCATTAATTATCTGCTCTACATGCTGCTGGGTGTATGTATAGTGTGAGAGTTTGTATCTCTTAAATTTCTGGCTACCTACTGAATATTAGGACGTCCCACAGGCCCTTCAAATTCAAAATGTCAAAAACTAAATAAGCTTTTCTTCTTTCTCTGCTCCAATCTCTTGTTTCCTCTCTATAATCCCCAAAATTGGTTTATGATAATAACATCCATCCATTCAGCTAAGGTAGAAAATAAGATCATCTGGCTCCTTTCTCTTCCTATAACCCCCTTCCAAATGGCTGCCAGATTTTTTTGGTATTGCCTGTTCCATTTATCTTCTTCTATTTTTATTAACTGCTCAGTGATCAATATTCATCAAAATAAATAAAAAAGCTACTAGAGAACTCAAAGTTTGCAGTGTTTTTCTCTCCAAACCATATTCTTTTTAAAAATTTTTATTTTTTTATTAAAACATTATGGTTATATATAGTAGTTGGGTTCATCCCAACAAACTCATACATCCATAGAATTTTGATTTCAGTTCAGGATCCCCTCCCCCAAACCATATTCTTAACAACTAGAGTTATCTTTTTTTTTTAATAATTGTTTTTTAGTTTTAGGTGGATACAATATTTTTATTTTTATGTGGTGCTGAGGATTGATCCCAGTGCCTCACACATGCTAGGCGAGACGCTACCACTTGAGTCACATCCTCAGTTCCAACCTTTTTCTTTCTTATGGAGACAGAGTTTCATAGTGCTACTCAGGCTGGTCTCAAACTCTAAGCTCAAATGATCCTCTTTCCTCTCAGCCTCCCCAGGATCATGTGCCACCACACCCAGCTACAGCAATTTTTCTTACAATTAAGTACAAGATAATTGCTTTATCCACGCTCTTCTAATTTCATTGTTTCATTTCCTGTCCCTGTCCCATACACCCTCCCAATGCCACATATACACTCACCTCTGTGCTTCTGTTTACACCATTACTATGCTTAGAAGGCCCTGTCCCTCTTCCTGATGGCTGTTTTCCCACTTTTACTACTTTGTTTAACCTTATCTAATAATTCCTTCCCACTAATGCATAATTGGCGATTCAAATTTCTGCCCTTCCAAAGTACTTTGCTCACACCATTAGTAGAGTGCATGCATTGCATTATCAGTAACTCTTTTCACCCTATTAAGTAGTGAAGTAAAATGAGATATTAGATCAATTTTTGGTTGTTTTTCTATTTTTAACACCAGCTACGTAGTTACACTAAGTACCAATCTGTTCATTTGATATCCCATCTACCATTTACCAGACAAGTCTAATAAACAACCCCACTTCTTTAGTCATTCCATTATTGCCTTTCAAGAAATGTTCCAAGCCTCTTATTTTAAGCAACCTTGGTCATTTCTTTCTTTTCTTGGAATGTTACCTCTTCTACAAATTCTTTTCAACTACCTAAAAGCAGCTGATATATGCGAGTTCACTAATGTCTTCATTTAACACATTTGGCACAATAAATATATTTCATCTTACACAAAAGGTGGAAAAAGTGTAGATTTTGCATACAATCTTTATTGTTGAGATGACAATCAATAAACAGCTTTTGGAATCAGGTGGGCTTCTTAGCTTGAACAATATCCTTCATCTATGCCAGAGCTCAAGTCTGTTGGTTGTCACCTATGCTTCTGTTATGTTAATAATCAGACTATAAAGATCTTTTGAGTTTTTTGTTTGCATTTTTGCAGTGCTGGGGATTGAACTCAGGGACTCATGCATGCTAGGGAAACATTCTACCTGTGAGAAACACCCCCTAGCCCTTATGGAGACTTTAATGATAAACCTTTAAACTTTTGTATTTGTGGCAAAGGTTACATCTGTTTTTCTGCAGCTGAACCAAAGCTATATCAAGTTTATCTAGTACCAACCAATTAACCATAGGGCCCAGAAACAAGTTCAGTACTCCCAGGTAAAAACAAAAGTGGGCTGGCCACTAGTTAAATCAGCCTTTGAGAGCTTTTTTTTTTTTTTTTTTAAACCAATGGTCCTTAGAGAAAAGAACCATATTTCTTTCTCTTTTCTACCAACAATACTATAGATTTATTAAACTGAAAGTGAGGGAAGCTAGGTGCAGTGCTGCAAGCCCAGTGACTTGGGAGTTTGAGACAGGAGGATCTCAAGCTCAAGGCCAACCCAGGCAACCCAGTGAGACCCTGCCTTGGCAAGTTCATGTTCAAGCTGGGTAGTAGGCATGAATTTTTTTTTTTTTTTTTTTTTTTTTTTAGAGGGGGATACTAGAGATTGAACCCAGGGGCACATCCCTAGCCTTATTTGAGACAGGGTCTCTATAAGTTATTGAGCTGGCCTCAAACTTGAGCCTCTTGCCTCAGCCTCCTCAGTCCCTGTTATTATAGGCATGTTCTTTTCAATTGCACAAATTTCTGCCCCCCGGGGGCAGTGCTTCAGGTTGAGAATCATTATAGTGTGTGTCAGACTATGTGGTTACTTCTCAGACTTGCTATACCTTCAGATTCTTTGCTCCTCAGCCACATGTTGAGCCATAGTTGGACCAGTGCTTTGAGAAAATAAGGAAAGATAGAATTTAATGTCAGATGCCAGTATGTACTAGTAAGAAAAATGAAACCTGGTGATGGGGATAGAATGGTATAATATTGGGATTTGTTTATTTAGGTTACGGGTATTCTCTATAATATAAATGGGTTTCTGAGCTGAGGAGTAAATTGGTAAATTTGCCTTTTTTGTATTATCTGGAGCAAAGAACATTCCAGGCAAAGTAAGCATAGTTTGAGAAATGGCAGCAGGTGAATTGTATTGTTCAAGAACCATGTGTTACCTTCCAAGTTTAAAAAAAAATATTCCAAAAAGGAAACTGGTAGTACACACCAGGTAAAAAACACAAAGGTTTAGAAATGTATTCTGTGAGAAAAATATATCCTCTGAGTTCAGTTCCCTCAAGGCAACCAGTTAATCTGTTTCTTAAACTTTAGCTACCCCAAAATACATTTTTTTTAAAGGGCTTGGGATGTAGCTCAGTGGTCAAGTGATTGCCTACCATGCATGAGTCCCTAGGTTCAATCCCTGATAGATAATAAATGAAGGAAGGAAGGAAGGAAGGAAGGAAAGAGTGAGTAGATTCTGTTTCACCTGAGTCAATAAAGAAGATAATCTAGAAGTTTCTAAGAAAAGGGTGTGACACTGCAGGGTGCAGTGGTGTATACCTGTAATCAAAGTTACTTGGGAGTCTGAGGCAGGAGGATTGCAAATTCAAGGCTAGATCCTGCTTCTAACTACCTTACTAAATAAGGGCTGGGAGGGGGAGGAAAAAAGGGAAAGAGAGGCAGCAGCACTATGAAAATTATAGTGTCATCTGCTACAAATGATCCAAAGATAACAGAAAATTCTAAGGCAAAACATGTTGCACGTCAGTGAAATTTATCAAACAAAAGAATTTAACAATGTACACTTATGACCTATAGCCTAAAAACCTATATTTAATGAAAATGTCAACCTATATTCTATCAAAAACAATTTGTTGACCACCGTTCCTAGAAAGTCTCTTAATATAATACTGTGGCATATGGCACATATTAGGAAAATACTATCTAACATCTAAAGAATGCCTATTAAGTGCCAAGCACTACAATAAGCATTTAAATAGACTGTCTCATTGAATTCTCATACCCATTTTTTTGATGTGAGTGCTATTATTATCTTCATTTTCTCAAGGAGAAAACTGAGGCTTAGTTAGTGTTTTTCCAAAGTCTCACTTTCACAAGCTAGTCTCACTAGCTAGCAAGTGATACATTAAAATTCAAATCCAAACATTCTCATCTCCACAAATCTATACTATTCATCACCATATTCTGCTAAACTTAAGTTCCTTCTAAAGCAAATCAGACAGAACAATTAGCCTACATATATATTTTTTAATTAAATGAACTATTAAAATATAGTTTTTCTTTTTTATCCTTTTTAACTATAATAAATTAGAAGGCAAAGGCATGACATTCTGGTTATGTACTTCTCAGAGAAGATTTGTGAGTGACTCAGGCCTTTAGATGGTTATTTGAGAAGAAACTTGTCTGAGTTATCTATTTTGTCCTCTCTTCTCTCTCATCACCTCAACTGTAGTCCTGCTATGCTGGTGTTCCTGCCATGTTTACAAGAGTATCTTCTTTGGGATCAGAACTGAATGCCTACACGCATATTCACGGACACGTTGCTTACTGCCATCACCAAACTGCAATGGCATTGCTGTAGCCAAAAAGGCAGAAGACATGAGAAGCAGTTCTGACCTAAGGAACATTAATAAACCAAGTTTATAAAGCTGTTTAATCACCAAAAATATTCTTCACTCATAAAACAATGAATCTCAAAAGATAAATTTCAAGTAACTGGCTAAAGAAGAGAAAAAGACATGTGTTTAAATTGAGACATAATTTATAGAAAATTTTTTTTTAATTTGTTTTTTTAGTTGTAGATGGACACAATACCTCTATTTTATTTTTATGTGATCTGAGGATTGAACCCAGTGCCGTCCACATGTGAGGAAAGCACTCTACCACTGAGCCCCAGCCTTAGAAAAAAT